GGTTTCATCTCCACACACAGACATACAGACATACAGATGCACAGACATACAGAGAGAGAGAGAGACAGACAGACAGACAGACACAGAGACAGAGAGAGAGGGATTGACATTCTACCCTATAGCACTATGTCTCAGTTGTTAAAACCTGCCAGGTGGCCTCCCCTTCATGAATGGAAGAAACACTGTCTGACCCTTCTGCTGCGTCAGCCCCCACTGGGCAACTACCCTCCCTCTGGGAGCCGCACACTCCACAGTCTGTACTTCTTTTGATCTTTGGTTTTTGGACTGCGTTCCTCAGGAGGTTCATTAGGACTCTTCCAGGGGGATGCACTTGGGCCCAGTTCTGATGAATCCAGTGAGAGAATTTTACCCAGATGGAAGTCCCCCCAACTACCACCCTCCCTCCACAAGCTGGATCTGGATCCAGCCACCTTGGGCCATGTGGGGCGAGGTGATACAACAGCCCACAACCTGGCACCCCTTGCCCCACCAGCTCTGCTTGAATTAGTCCTTCCTCCTGCATGAGGCTCAGGAGGCCTTTCCCCATTAAAAAGGACTTTCACTATTGTCTTTATTTTGAAATGTTTTGTGGAAAATTAAAAGATGAATGACTGCCAAGCAATGCCTAAGCCAGCAGCCCAGAGTGCTGTGTTTTCTTCCAAGGCTGGCCGGAGCAGGCTGGAATCGACCCAGCACTCCCCAGGCTCCTCTGCCTGCACTTATTCTCTGGGTGGCTCAATTCCTTTTAAGACACAAATTGATTGGGATAATTTCAGCTATAACTACAATTGCCATGGAATGGGGGCGCATTCAGGCTGGGGACTCCTGCATTGACTGTGAACCATTGAGTTACTGTAAAATGACCAGAAAATGGATTCAAAATTGAAGGCACAAATAATGTAATTACTGCGGTGTGTGCACGGGGCTGCCAGGACAAGGTTGGCTGCTGCCCTGGAAACATCTAGAAGCAGTGCTGCTGCTGTAATCCCTGAGCCTTGGAGGTAGCAATGCTCTTCCAGCCTAGAAGATCCTCAAAAGGTGAAGAAACACAGAAGACGAGAAAACAGATGTAGAGAGGGGCAAGTAAAAGAAAGAAGTAGAGAACAGGACTGGAGTCGCCTGTGCCCAAGCAGGGAGATCTAGATGCTGCATCTTTAGTAGAATGGAGTCCACTGTGGAATTACCATCACCTCATAACCACTCTTGCCACTGCTATCAACACGCCGCACCACAGTCACTGTTATCCCTATCCATGATGCTATCACATCCGTCAACACTAGCACCACCATCCCTACCTCTACTGCCATCATCTCCATCATTGTTAAGACAACATCTCCATCATCACCAATCCTATCAACACCAGCATCAGCATCATCCCTCCTACTGTGCTCATCATCATTGCTTCCCTTCCACATCGTCAGCGGCAGTCCTACTCTTACCACCTCCTCTGTCACTGGTGGTCACATCTCATCCCTGCTAGCTTCATCATCACCAGCCTTGTCCATAGCAACTGTCTCATTCATCAACACTGTCACCATTATCCTTCACAGCCTCCCAGCATGGTCTTCACCCTCACACTCTGTGCCTTAGCTACCTTTGTCCGGGTCCTGACAGCCAAGGTCCAGAATCAGTTACTTCCTTCCAAATCATTCCTACAGTCTTCTCTATCATACACTCTGTGCCTAGTCTTCTGTTCCTTGCCACAGACAAACAAGATGTCTAGCCCTTGGTCTGGGACAGGGGCATCACCTAAAAGGGTGGGACTATAAGGATGGTTTGGGGGCCTCCTTGGCTGTCTGCTTTAAGGTCAAAGCAAAGAAGGGACCCATGAGGTAGAGTTGGGAGTGGTGACAGAGAATGACACAAGTCATCCAGTCAAGTATTCAGTCTGAACATCTATCAGAGATGTCTGACTTTTATTTAAATATTTAATATTTAAATATGTTGCATTTATTTAGTGCGTGTGCACATACACATATGCACACATGTGCCTGCCATGGAGCATATGTGGAGGTTAGAGGACAACTTGTGGGAGTCAGCTCTCGCTTTCCAACATGTGGGTTCTAGGGATTGAACTCAGGTCATCAGGCTTAGCCCAAGTGCCTTTACTCACTGAGCCATCTCACTGGCCCCTGTCCATCCTTTGGAATGGCAATATGTCATGATCTACAAATGTGTTGTGCCGTACTCACAGCTAGTCCGAACCCTGTGAGCCACAGAGTAGACATATCTGTGGGGAAAATGAGAAAACAGAGGAAGTGGTGGAGCAGAAACCAGGTATGCCAGGGGACATCTAGAAGGGTCACACAGAAGTAGGAAACAGAAAATGAGAGAGACCCACAGATCTTAAAAGGTACCCATGCCCTGGGCTAAGACAAGAGAGCGTGGCCAGGCCTGATGATTGTCACTGTCATCGTCACTGTGTCAGTGTCCAGGCTCTAGAGCTGCAGAGTGACTCATGTGTGGTCTCAGGGAGAGCCTAGAGCCTACGCTTAAGATACACACACCTAGACAGCAGGAAACTAGCAGGGCAGCAAGAACATAGGACCCACCACGGCCTCTGCAGGACGGCACCAGATAGAACTGTCCATAAATATGATGGTTTGCCAATAACCAGAGCTCCTACTTTCGAAGCATTTACCATGAGTAGAGATTGTCCTTCACACTCCCACACAGGACTGCCTAAGGCTTGCCTTGAAGGTGGCAAGAAAGGGACAACAGTGTGCCTTCCTGCCTTGGCCTCTAGGCCCAGAGCTAGAGGGGGCGTCTGGCAGACACCACCTGCTCCATCGTGCATCCTCTCCTGCAGTTGGCACTGGACAGGGGAACCCTCAGTCACCAGGAAACACCCTCTGTGCCATCCTGCCCTGTGTTCCAGTGACCCCAGCAGATTCTTAACAGAGGCCTACATCACTGCATCTGTTAGCGAGGCTGCAAGAAACAGCCCCTGGTATTCTTGGAGGAAGTATAGATTTTAGGAATAATAACTACTCTAAAGTTTATCTCCCACTTCCAGGGGGCAGGTAGGACTAGTAGGTGTTAGCCAAGAGGAAGGTATGCAAAACTCCCCATCTGATACTCTAATCTCCTCTGCATTTCCAGACTGGTTGACACCACTCTGCTTGTGGGGGAGCATCTCTGACTCCTCAGGTCAGCCTCTCCTGACAGAATAGGGCCAGTGGGACAAGGGACTTAGCTATCAGGAACCTTCTAGACTTTTTAAGTACCTAGAATCCTAAGTGTCCTACCCAGTTGGCCCCAAGCCCACATCTAGGGTCTACAGCTTCTCTCTCCAGGGCCATGCTCCCAGAGTGATCATGGGACAGCTGTTCGTAGAGGGGTGAGAATAGCTTGGGGAGCAGGGCCATCGTATCTACATGGAAGGTGTGAGGAACCTGAGACTCAGGACGGAGCCAGAGATCAAAGAGGAGCAGGCTGGGTATATTTATCGAAGCAGGAGCAAGGTCAGGCTTTGTTTAAGAATGTGTTAGCCTGACTCAACATTTCAATGTTTGGCCTTGAAGGCCCCTTTATACAGATCTTTTTAAGCAAAGTATCTGCAGGATATAAGGCTTAAGGACTGTTGGGGACTGGGGGTGCTATTACATGTTGGGTAGTGATAGTTCCCCCAGTAAGACTAGCAGGCACAGAGACCTGAGGGAAGGGAGAGTTGAGTGGACAGCTGAGGGAAGATCCTTCCAGTTGGAGGACAGCAAGTGTAAGGGCCCCGAGGCACACATTTGCTCGGTGTGTTTGGGGAACATTATGGAAGCCAGCAGAGCTGGAATGCTATGAGGGAGACAGATAAGGATGGGAGAAATCAGAAGGCAGTGGTGACAGGGACAGGGACAAGGAGAACCTGTAAGAAGTAGGTCCTGTAGGGCCACCCTAAGGACTTTGGCTTTGATACTGACGGAGACCAAAGGAGTGATGTGACCCTTGGACACAGAAAGGCTTGTTCTGGCTGCTGAGAGTAGGGGTAGATGGTAGAGAGGGTGCCTGGCGTCCGCAGTAAAGCAGGAGAATGATGGTGTGTGTCTGGCACCAGGCAGGTGTGGGTGTAGCAGGCCAATAGGAGCTGCTGGTGGTCTGGGCTGGGTGTACATCAGAATGGGAGGTGTCAAGGCAAAGCCTCAAATAGGGGGCTCTGTTTTGGACGCACAGGTTGTGATGGTGAAATTTGTCAAATTGACGCAGTCTAAAATCACCTGGAAGGAGAGTCTCGATAAAGGATTGCCTATACTGGGTTGACTTGTGGGCAAGTCTGTGGGGGATTGCCTTAATTAACTTAATTGATGTAGGGAGAGCTAGCCCACTGTGGGCAACCCCATTCCCTAGGCAGGGGGGTCCTGGACTATCAGCCGAGCACAAGTGAACATGCATGTGTTCATTTCTCTCCACCCCTGACTCTGGATGTGATGTGACCAGCTGTTTGAAGTTCCTGCCGTGACTTCCCACAGTGATGGACTGTGACCTGGAATTATGAACTAAAATAAACCCTTTCTCCCCTAAGTTGCATTTTTTTTGTTAGGATATTTTATTACAGCCAAGGAAATGAAACTGGGACACAGGTCTAAGAGGCATCTTAAGGTCCAGAAAGCTTCACTGAGAAGGAAAGATGTCTAATGAGATGTTAAGGAGCAGCTTGGGGCTAGTGGCAGAAGTAGGAAGATGCTTGCTTCCTGTTTGTCTCTCAAGTTCCCTATGAACACAGCTTGGACACCACTCACAAAGACAATAATGCCACAGGTGCCCAGCATGCTTACATGGGCAAGGCTTTCCAACAGCTGGGCTTACAAACGCCTCCTCTCACCTTCCTGGGGTCAGATGAAAGAGACCATTACAGCCCCATTGTTCAGATGAGGAAACAGACTTCGAGTCAGACCTGCTCCCAGGGTTCCTTTGACTTTTTGTTCCTGTGTTTGTGGAACCATTACTGCCCTACCCTCAGTGCCCACAGCACCTCACTGACTCCCATGCCGCCTTCCACTCTGTTGCAGCCTGTGACCAGCTGGCACTGGGCGTGGTGGCCATCTTCGGGCCGTCCCAGGGCTCCTGCACCAATGCTGTCCAGTCTATCTGCAATGCCCTGGAGGTTCCCCACATCCAGCTGCGTTGGAAGCACCACCCACTGGACAACAAGGATACCTTCTATGTGAACCTCTACCCTGACTACGCCTCGCTCAGCCATGCCATCCTTGACCTGGTCCAGTCCCTGAAGTGGCGGTCGGCCACAGTGGTCTATGACGACAGCACAGGTGGGTGGCCGGGCCTGGCCAGGCTTGGGGCCAGATGAGGGAGCAGGGCCCCAAGACTAGTCTTCTTGTCTAGCACAGTTGCCCCGGGAGGAAAGGCTGTGTCCGACACCCAAACACCAGTAGCACCTGGTCACACCAATGTTTGCCCCTTGGTCTCTCACACCCACACACGTCAGCCACCCACACACCTCAGTCAACCTCAACCTGGCTTACACCTGCCTCTCTCCTCCCTACCACACCTGACTCATCTGCAGGACACTGCTGAGATCTTTACCTGGCACCTGCCCAGCACTGGCACACACCTGTGTTCACACCTGCAGAGGCATGCCATCACCCTTGTACACCTGCACACAGGTTACTCCTTGTGTGGCCCGGTGTACAGTGTGTACCTGCCACCTGTAAATCCTACCAGCCTACCACCTGGCTGGGTAGCCTCTTTGAGCCTTTGTCTCCTTATGGGTAGGCTCTGGGGTAAGGAGGCAGAGGGTTTACAGGAACATAGAGAATGCTTGAAGCTCAGAGGAAGTTAGACCTGATTCTTCTTATCCTTGGGTTCAGTACCCCACCCCATTTCTCTGTCCACACTCAGGCACAGACCCCTCTTCATGCCCAACTGTACTCAGACACCAGCTTCTAGCCTACCCACATGACCACTGACCCCAGCCAAGGACAAGCCTATAGAAATGGACAATGGGCTTGGGTCTTATCCTCCCAGGACAGAACCACTCAGGCACAGACCCCTCTTCATGCCCAACTGTACTCAGACACCAGCTTCCAGCCTACCCACATGACCACTGACCCCAGCCAAGGACAAGCCATAGAAATGGACAATGGGCTTGGGTCTTATCCTCCCAGGACAGAGGGCTTGAAGCTCAGAGGAAGTTAGACCTGATTCTTCTTATCCTTGGGTTCAGTACCCCACCCCATTTCTCTGTCCACACTCAGGCACAGACCCCTCTTCATGCCCAACTGTACTCAGACACCAGCTTCTAGCCTACCCACATGACCACTGACCCCAGCCCAGGACAAGCCTATAGAAATGGACAATGGGCTTGGGTCTTATCCTCCCAGGACAGAACGAAGAAAGGCCCAGGCTGTGAGCTACAGCTGAGGCTGGACCTCCTGGTGCAGAGGCACCTGTCCCACATGCACGCCCTGCCCATTTGAAGCTATATCAGCATTCCTCTCCATAGGGACTACTTGGTCCAGTCTTTCCTGGCCTTCAAATCTAGATAGGGCTAACCTTCCAGAACATTCTTAGTACAGTGTATTATTCTTTCCTTTGCATGTCTGGGGCCCCTTAACATATGCCAAGAACAGATATGTACTAAGAAATCAGAAAATATATTCTGGGCCTCCCCTTTGGACCTTCTGAATTGCTGGGTGACAAATCCTCAGCCTTAGTCTTGGCAAAGTGTATGTTACAGAGGAACACAGAGAGGATCCCACATTGCTGGGTCTGTGAACCTTATAGCAGAGCTAAAGGCTCTCTGGAACAGCAGGGGAGAGAAGAGCCACTGCCAGACCCTGCCTTTACCCTTGGCCATCCTCATGAGGTTCAGCCTCTGGAGACAGAGCAGGCTAGCCTCGAGATGACTGCATTGGAGACTGCTGTCTTGTACCATGAGCCAAGCCATGGTGGCTTCATTCAATTCTACACATTTCTCCATGACTCTAAGAGGGGTAAAAAATAAAAAATGAGGAAACTGAGTTTCAGAAAAGTGACAGGTCCTGCCCAATGTTACCTGCCAGTAAGTGTCACAGCTGGCATGGTCCTGCAGGCTGGTGTGAGCCCAAGGCCAATACTGATGGCTAGTATAGAACTCGATCCACACCTCCTCTTTCTTTCCAAAGACTCGGGTCTCAAGACAATTTTTAGCCCAGCCTCTTCAGAGACAGTGACCTTGGCAAGTCACTTAACCCATCTGGCCTGGCTCTTCCCACGTATCAAGAGCTGCAGCATCCAGCCTCAAAGAGCCCTCCAGCTCTTAGCTGCTTGTGATTCTCTGTCAGCTCTTGATTACTGCCTAATGGGCTGGGGGTAGGAATAGCAAGAGAGAAGCCTTCAGAAAGGATGGTCTGGAAGCTGTTTATTTATCTCAGGGTTCTGTAAACATCTGTTGAACTCCTGCTGGACCCAGAACATGCTACTGGAGATCCACAAAAGCAGGTCTACCTCCTAAGACCCCAGCAGCAGGCTCCGCCACTGTGGGGCACTCCACGGTACCCAGTCCCCTCTAGTACTTCTGCAGTGTGGTGGCATTATCTGTCTAAATGATCTCTAGGAACAACGTCTGTCTGTGAACCAGTTTCTGCTTCCAAACCTTGGGCTCTCTTTGCCTCCAGGACCTAGCACAGGGTCAGGCACAGTATGGACATTTTTAAATGGTTAACTGACATGGAGTGAGTTGAAAATCATGTTGAATTAAACTCTAAATCTTGCAAGGAAGAGTATAAGGGTGCAGAAATGAAGATGCTACTACCCCTATTTTTTTAGGAGTTAATCACAGGAAAGCGGGTGCCCTAAAGGAGACTGGTAATTCCTGGCCATTGGAGCTGAGAATCAAGCAGTAGGGACAGGCAGTCAGAGTTCCAACTGCCTGGAGGGGAGAAAGCTGTTTGTCCTTGGCTAGTCTGCGCTGACTTACCAGAGGAGGAGAGAGATTTGCTGCTGGGCTTTGAGGATGGAAGGATGCAGCAGGGCATACTGAGGGCATGATGGGTGGAAGGGTGTTGGTATAGGCAGTGATGAAGAGGTGGGATGGCATGTGGCAGCGTTACGGAGATGTCAACCTGGCCGGGGAGAGGATTCTAGTGTGGAGAGAGTGAGATAGACAGGGTGCATCTGGCTCTGCAGGTCTGACGCCCAGCCTCAGGTCAGACTTTATGTTGTGAGTAACTGAGGACCGTTGAGTTTTGTCAAGCATAGCCATGGAATAACGAGAGCTGAGTTTCAGCAGGTGAGAGCAGCTTTCGGGGAGGGTTGAAAGGAAAACACCAAGCAGAGGGGACTGGATGGGTCCCTGCAGAAACAAAGGAGGCCGGACATCAAGGGGTTGCTTGGAAGAGAACTTGGGGGGCAAAATGGAAGAGAAGAAACAGATGATATGGAACAGATGACTGGAGTGTCATGGGAGAGTGGGCAGAGCAGACATTGGCTTGAGACACTGCCCAGGGGCTTGGACCTCCAGGCTGAGTGGGGTGGGAGGGCAAGCCTTTGCAAGATCTTCTAGCGTGATGACCGGCACCACTATCAGCACTGCTCAGAGCTGATGCTTAGGTCTGGAGCGTCTGTCTCCAAACTTCTAGTTCCATCTGGCCCACAGTGGTCCTGCACAGTGAAGTATCCTGGTTCCACAAGCACCCACATGTCATATCACTTGCTCCTCATCTCTGATGGCCTAGAATTGCCAGTGACCTCTACATGGGAACCACTGCCTCCCACTGTTTTAGGGATCAAACCCCGGGCCTTGTGCAAGCTAGGTCAGAGCTTCATCACTGAGCTTTACCTCAGCCCGCCACTCTCCTAAAATCTGATGAACCACTCCAAAAGAAAAAAAAAATGGGGTAACTATGTCTTCATTTCTTTACCACCCCAGTGCCTAATATATTCTTTCCTGCAACATTTCATTAGCATTTAATTCAATTTGATTTTCAATTTGTCTCAATTCAGTTCAGTTGAGTTCAAAAAACATTTAGAGAAGAGGCAATGAGAGATGTGGTTTGGTCAAGAAAACAGTGGATCTTAGGGATTCAGGGTTCCAGGGAACGATAATAGAACATTGGGAACGTATAGTGGGGAGGAGGCGCTGAACTCCTGAACCTGGATACTTCACCATAGAGACCACTGTGGGTCCTCAGCACCATGGGATGGGAAGCATGCTTGTGTAGCAGGCTCTGCCTATATGCGCTGTGTGCTGTGTTTTAACTGTAAGGCCGGATGCAACTCAAATCAACTCAAGCAATTACCATGTGGACAGGAAGTCTGGGCTGGGCCTTTCCAGGGTTGGTTTAGTAGCTTAGCAAGTCAGAATGCTTCCTCAGTATTGCTATAGCCCTCTTAGCCTTTCCTTCCTTGTCACAACAGAATTGCTACAGCTCCAGGCATCATGTCACATGCTCACACCCTAAGCAGGAGGGAAGTAGGGGACACTGGAATTTGTCTTAATGTGACTTATGCCTCTTAACAACAAGTCTATCTTGGGACCTTCTAAAAGACAGTCCTGTACTTTTCACGGGGTCCATGCTTCTTCCTCATAAGCACTGTCAAATGGGAATAAGATTGCCGCTGATTGGCTCCTAACAGTCATGAGTCATCTCTTAGGAATGGCACATTGCCACACTTTTTCTTCTGGCATGCTAGCAGAGGATGCATCTGTTAGCTCTTTCTGTAATAAGCTGTGTAACAAACCACCCCCAAAATCCAGTGGCTAAAACAACAAGCATTTCTTTAGCTCCTAAGTCCACAAGGTCAGTGGCTCACTGAGCCTGGCCAGCTGTTTCTTTGGTCGCAGCTGGCTCATTTGCCTGCCTGCTGGTGACTCTAGGCTGGCTTTGGCTCACCTCCAAGTGTTTCTGTTCTTTGGCAGGCTCACCCAGGTTTGCTGTCCTGACCAAAGAGCAAGAGAACCAGGCAGTGTGGCGTTCCATCGTGCCTGCTACTATCCCATTAGCCGAGTCTAATGACAGTTGTGCTCCGGTGGGTGGCCCCTGTCCAGCTCCTTAACAAAGAGCCTGGATCTAGTGAAGGGTAAGGAGTTGGGCTCATCCTCACCTTAGAAAGCAGCCTCAGATGAAGTGGCTGTGGGGAGTTGACCTTTGAACTGTGCCATGTTGCCACTTCCTATACCAAGTCTGTACAAACTGAGACCAAGGCTGAAAGGGAAGGGTTTAGAAAAATCTCTAGGGTGGGAAAACAGAAAAAAAGAGTCCCAGCCTACAAGGCAAAATGCTGGTTTTCAAATTTTGATCCCATTCATGACATGGTGCAAAATTAAAGGAAGGTCCCTTAATTTCTGTGGCCCTCAGATTCCTTATCTATCCCACTGGAGTAAAAATCCCTATTCTGCATGCCTTCTAGGATCAGGAGACGGCTAAATAGGGCTATGTTAGCAGAAGTGCTTCGTAAGTGAAAAGCAGGATTTCAACAACCATGATTCAGTGTGAATATTCTGGGAGGGACTGATTAAGGAGGCAGCCAGGAAGGCAAGCTCAGGCTCAGGCAAACAAAGACAGCCCAGTCCTGGGGGGGGTGTTGTCCGGAGGAGCCTCAGTCTCCTTTGGGAATACACTGATGGGAAGGAGGGCTGACATTTGCTGCTGGAGAATGTGGGTCACGTGCATTACACAGGGTGATGTGCTTGGCTGACGAGAAGGCCCTAGTGGACACTGCTCCAGTATCCAGCCTGTCCTGGTCCTCATGATGAGGGTCCCCAAAGCCCATATGCCTGCTAATGCTGAACACAAGTCTGAAAACCAAGTGGACAGGAGCAAAGTGGACACTGGGAGGCCTTCAGGTACCAGACGCAAGAGGCCAGCAGCAGCATGCAGAATCAGAACTAAAAACTGCTGGAGAACTTGGGCCTATGGCCTCTCCTTTTCTGAGGTCAACTGATCACCTCCTCCGTCGAGTATGGTGTTAACACAGGGATCTGTTTGATCCAGAGCTTTCCCACCTATGTACCTGGATCTCAGACTTGCAGGGGGCTGGGTGCTGCCAGTGCCTGTGGCCCTGGCCAAGCTTGTTTGAGCTCCTTTGGAGGCGAGGTAAGAGGCATGTCTCTCCCTACCACAGGGGAATGATGGAATCAGATTGCTTTCCAAACATCCAATCCCAAGAATGGGAGGAGGGCTAGACAGCCTCATGTTGTGTACCAGGGGTTACTTTGGAAACTGGAATTTAGTAGGCTTCTGTTGTGGGCTGTCTGAACAGGGAGACTCTACCCAGATAGGCGACACTGTAACAGGTGATTACAAACTTAATTCAGTGCAAATTAACTTATGAAACACAGGTGGGGGTGGGGCACATCTTCCTGGCAGGCTTTACTGGAACATTCAGAGATAACGTCAGATTGCAGTACTATTTGGTTCAGAGGCTCAAATGGATGTCATCAGGACACATTTTCTTCTTCGTCCCCTATGACATCTACCCTATTGGATTCTTTCTCCAGTTTCATGGTGACTCAAGACTTACATCCTGCCTACTTGAAACTGAATGAAAAGAGGCTGTTTTTCACCTGTCCCTCACTCATCAGTCATAGGACCACTGTCCCTTTTCCTAGGCTATGTGCCGATTGGCCAAGCTAGGGCCACATGCTTTGCCCCTAGAGTTGGGATGGCTCTCTCCTAAGTCAAATAAACTAGGAGGAGGGAGCAGGTGCTCCCAAAAGGAAAATCTGGATGCACTGAGTTGGGAGTAGGACTCAGTTGTGTGAACCTTGAGCTAAGATGCAGCTGCTGAGTGTGAGCTGAGAAGACGGGGATAGAGAGCGTGCTGGCTCAGCCATTCCTTCAGTGGGCCTGGGTTGGGGTAGTGGAGAGCAGCAAGCAGCTTCCCTCTCAGGCTCCTCAGAAAAGAGTCAGCAAGAATGGTGCTTAAAATAGGGATGGAAATGAACTTAATGAGACCTAAGCAAGCCATTTGTCTCCAGGAAGTGACATTCAGTTTTCCCTGGAAGTTCTCAGATTAAGTGGTTTTACAAAATGCCAAGGTGGAACACAGAGTTTGTTTTCAGTGTTAGGAGAGAAAAACAGTAAGTCAGTCCAATTACAGAGATGTTGCTTGAGGGTTCCCTACGTGCTGGGGCCTGGGCCAAGTGCTATGGGGACTCAGCCATAGCAGAATGAGGGAAGTGGAGTGGGCCCAGAGGAGCCCCCTGAGCTGATGTGGATATGGGAAGGGTGCCTGGGGAGGGAGGTCTTTCTTGAACACAGCAACCAAAGGAGACTTATGTGGAAGAGGTGTTGTTTTAAACCTGGAAGAATGGATTTATCAAGACAGCCTGCCTGGGCACAAGCCCACCTGGTCTTCACTAGTACAGTGCTTGGTATAGGGAAGTTGAAGCCATCTCTTGTACCTGCATCCCAGAGGCAGGTCTGTTGAGGATAATTAGAGAGATGATGCCCACATCTCCCAAGGCTCTGTATGTTTCTATGTCCATTCTGAGTCAAAGAGGAGGAGTTGATTGTACTGAGTGGGTTTTCTGCTGTCTGTGCCTATTTTGGGATCAACATTTATGTATACATATACCTGTGCTTGCATAGGCCTTTACCTACATGTACATATATGTGTACAAATACACATGTGACCTGTCTGTGGCAATACACAGGTATGCTTGTACATACATATCAATTCTCAGGTCTGGACTTGGGGAGGCATGTCCCCTGAGTGTGCTAGTATTAGTCAGGGTTCTCTACAGGAACAGAATCAATATGATTGATATATATTAAAAGGGGATTTATTGGATTGACTTACATGATATGATCTGGGCAGTCCAACAATGGCCGTCTTCACACTGGAGAGGCTGAGAAGCCAGGAGTCCACAGGCTGGGTGCTGAGGACCTGGAAGATCCTAGAGAGCTTCTGGTCTCCATTGCATGTTGTAAAATTGAAGAAGCTGGCTTCTAATGACCCCCCCAAAAATGTTCTAGCAATGGCAACAGCAGAGTAGATGAACTTTCCAGGGACCTCCTTTGATCTAGGAACTCTCACCCTGGGACCTCCTTTGATCTGGCTGCTACCGGAAGGTGCCTCCCGTATTTAGGGTAGGCCTTCCCACTTCAATTATGTAATCAAGACACACACACACACACACACACACACACCAACACAAGCATGCTCAGATACCCTTCTCCCAGATGATTCTAGGGTCTGTCAAGTTGACAGTTAACACTGACTGTCACAGTACCCAAGCCTGTCCCAGAACACGTGTGGCTCTGTCCATGCATGCACATAGCTCTATGGGCTGTGCGTCTGTATTTACATGTATCTGCTGGCCTGGTCACCAGCATGCTTGGGCATGCCCATCCCAATGAATGCTCATGATGGTGATGCATGCACGCGCACTTGTGTCTTCTGTGCCTCTGCCCTTCAGGTCTCATCCGGCTGCAGGAACTCATCATGGCCCCATCCAGGTACAACATCCGCTTGAAGATCCGCCAACTCCCCATCGATTCCGATGACTCACGACCCCTGCTCAAGGAGATGAAGCGGGGCCGGGAGTTCCGCATCATCTTTGACTGCAGCCACACCATGGCAGCCCAGATCCTCAAGCAGGTGGGTGAACACTGGTCAAGCTGAGGGATGAGGGTAGGGGACCACCTCTCCTTTCCCAGGTACTGGACCTCAGCTAGCTTCCTAGCTGTCTCTCTGGTTGGCTGTATGACCTTGTGGGCAACTGTACTCCTCAGTGCCTCAGTAGTACCAACAGCAGAATGATCCTTACATTTTAACTTGGTGAAGGATAGATGATCTGCCCCATGCCCTGTCCTGGTGCTCAGAGTGTCACAGCATAAACAATGTCTTCCTGCCCACCCCCATCAGGCTGCCTAGAGGCATGAGAGCAGAGCCCTGCAGAGCATAGAGAGGTCCTCCCATTCCTCGGGAGCAGCCCCCAGATGCCTCACTGCTTCTCCCAGTGACTAATTCCCCATAGCCTACAGCACTTGGTAGTACTTTCCTATGACTGGGAGGCTTCTCGAGGTTCTTTGAGCCATCTGCTGAGCTTCTTGCTGAGAAGGAAAATGGTTCTCATACCTGGATGAACCTTCATTCCCAAACAAGGTTCATGCTGGTGACAAGAACCAAGCTCTGCCAGACACCTAAGAAAGTACCAGCAAAAACACTTGCATCCCATTTCCAGGCCATCGCAGTGAAACCCCAGACATTCAGTACCAGCCTGTGCTTGTGTAAAAGGCAGTTATGTTATTCCTGAAAGTATTCCTGGTAACTGGAGGAGACCTTCTATGGGGCTTTGACATGTGATCAAGAGAGGCACAGGTGTCAAATAGGGGACTGACAGACACAAGTCTTGCAAGAGGAGGGGTCCTGAGCAGGAACCAGGACATTTTCAAAGCCATGAAGGGGTTCGAGTACCACCCTTCATTTGTGGGACCCACCCTGACTAGCAGCCTCTGTCCTTGCCCACCTCAAGAAAAACTTGGCACACGGTAGTTAAAAGGCTGGTTCAAGGCACATGCTTGAATGCCACTACTCAGGAAGAAGAGACTTGGAGGATCATGAGTTCAAGGCCAGTCTGAGCTCCATAGTGATATCCTGTGTTACGAGAGAAATAAGGAAGGAAAGAAGGGAGGGAGGGAGAGAAGGAGGGAAGGAGGGAGGAAAGACAGGTTGGTTTGAGAGTCTGTTTGAGTCCTGGGGATATAGCTCAATTGGTAGAGAGCTTGCTTAACATATGTAAGGCTCTGGGTTTGATTCCCTGAACCACATAAACCAGATGTGGTAGTGCATGCCTGAATCGTAGCAGCCTAGAAACAGAGGCAAGAAGATCAGAAGTTCAATGTCATCTTTAGGCACACAGCAAGTTTAAGGCCAGCCTGGGATACACAAGACCCTGTCTCCAAAAAAAAAAAAAAAGATTGTCCTGTTTCTTCCCTTTGTGCTGTGTGCCTGAGTCACCATCCTGCCCCCCCACACACACACACAGCCCGCCCCATGGACAGGGTTCATATTCCCCCTCACACAGCTCTGGGGATGTCAGTGAGATAGGACACAGAGCTGACACTGGGCCTGGGGCAGAAGTCTGTCACCTGTGCTGTCTGGGGCTTCCCCTCTCTTCCCTCTCTGTGCGTGTAATAGATATGCTTATAACCTTGGTTTGCCTAAAGTTACTCTATAGGTACCTGTCAGTTGTCATTAACCATGAGAGCAAGGGTCATTATCACAAACAACTGACAGGTGAGGGGGCTGAGGCTGACGGGAAAGCCTTGGGCCCAAGGTCACCCAGCTAGGAAGTCAGAATAGTCCCAGGACCATCTGACTAGAAAACATCTAGAGTTACAAATAAAAACTTGGAGCTCAGCTTAACATGGATTAAAGGAGGTTGAGGCCTTTGCTGACTGCTGGCCTCCTTTGACCCCTAGTGGTGCTGATGACAGAGAACATGCAGCAATTTCAAGGCTGACCCTGTGCCATTTTCTCCCAGAGTCCTTGGTGGGCCCTGCTTTCTGAGGAAAATGCATTACAGTCATTAGTGTTATAGATTACAGGCTTCTAATAAAACACATAAGATATATCACACGGAGACCTCATGCTGCTGTGTAATAATAACCGCACAGCAGCATGTGGCATGTTGTGTGGCTTGATGGTACTCAGGGAGGTCTCTGTATGCCTGTGGTACTTGGGCTGAAAACAGCTCCCTCAGGCCTCACTGACTGGGGCATTGACTCTCTCTCTGGAACCAGACGGGTGAGCCCAGCCACATGGAGCCAGGCACTTGAGGTGGCTCAGGCTTGTCTGTCACGGTGTCTGTGAGTGACAGACTCAGACGCTGACTGAAAACCCAGATAGCAAGACACCTCTCCCCAAGCCTACAGAACTGGGAACCTATAAGAGTGTGACCCTGCGCTGTAATCTTCCTCGGGTGATTTTGCTGCACAGAGAAGTTGGAACCTGCTGCTGTCTGTTAGCCAGTTGGTGTCCCGATTGAGAGGTCTCAGAAGACACCCTAGTCTAAGCAGATAACCCCAGCTAGCCCATAGCTTGTCCTGTCCTGCCCCCCAGCTCCTCTACCCCTGGTGAAGGGAGCACTGCCAAGGTCTTCAACTGCTGGCTGACTTTCTGCTTCCTCGCAGGCCATGGCCATGGGCATGATGACGGAGTACTATCACTTCATCTTCACCACTCTGGTAATGTACCTCAGGGGTCCTGTGAGGAAGGGTGGGACCCCATCGAATCAAGGGCACTGGACCCTGACCTGGGGCGGTCTGCTGGGGATGAGTGCTACAGCTGGAAGAGATTGGAGCCTTCCTAAAGGCTGTAGGTGGCTCCAGGTAAGGCCACAAAGAAATATTTGTGACCTAGCCACTTTTGAAAAGCCATGCTGTGTTTTTAAAGCTAAGGGCATGGTCTCTCGAGCCAGAGTGGAAAACAGCTTCTCTGCTAACTGACCAGAGAACTTCAGATCATCAGACCACTGTGTCTCATTTTCTTCCTCTGCAAAATGGGCTTCTACCTCCTTTCAAGACCTAGAGAACAGAGCTTGGTTGGTGCAGAGCTGGAGAAAGAGCAGGTGTTCATCTTTGGATAACAGCCCCCCAGCCCTCCCAGCCCATGCCTGTTGCAGGCCTCCTATCATGACTATGGCCATCTTGGATTCTGCATCAGCCACACTGGTCAGCCCCTTGCTGTCAGTGGGGCCAGCCCACCTGCAGGCTCCAGATGGGTCCTGTCCAAACTCGAAGAACATTTAGGACCATTTAAACCCATTAGGATAATTAGTTGTGGTTTGAGATCAGTAGAATCAAGACATCCTCTGCCAAAGGGGTACACCATCACAGAGCTGCCTGGCTTTGGAGCCAGCTGCACCTTCTCCTCCACTCTCCATCATCCAGGGACTGTTCCATCCATCCAGGGCTTGGGTCTATAGCCAGAAAGGTCCCACCCCTGTAGCTCTGCAGGCCTCTAATGGATCCTTTATTTGTGGACACCCAGTCAACATTTCTCTAACATCGGAGTTAAGCAAAGGGTCTTAAGATGACCAAGCCTTCCTCTCTGACTTCCTCTACATGTCTGGCCCTGCTGCAGCCAGCCTGTGACGTCAGAGCACAGGCAGACAGCCATGGAGCACAGCACAAGGAGATGCTAGGTGCTGTAGGGCTGGTCAAAGATACGAAGTTTGAGGATTTCCAGAAAAGCAGGTGCTTGAACTGGGCCTCGAAGGATCAATCAGAGCTCACTCAGGAAGAGAGAGGAAGGTAATTGCACACCGAAGGAACAGCATAAGCAAAGACCAAGAGGCAGGTTGGCTCTTCAGCGATGTGCTAGAACTGGCTTGTACTGGAGCCTGAGAATCAGTTATGTTCTCATAGCCCCATGCCGTGTTCTTATAGTTAGCCGTGGTATGAGGACTTACGCAACAGCAGTGGGCCTCTGCTGCCAACAAAGGCTCCCTCTCCACCAGAGAACACTGAACAGTGTTACCCATCCTCCACCCGAAGTATCCTGTGCCCATGCAGAGCTGACTATGGATCACACCTGGGCACCTGTCAGGAGTCCTATGGAGAGACAGGGACCCTGGAAACTGAGGGCTGAGACCAGGCACCTTCTCCCCGAGGGCTTTCTGAACCTCTGCCCACTTTACCTCCCTGTTCCTGGCCTTTTCTGACCATGCTGTATTCTAGGAAGTCACTAGAAGCTTAGGCTGAGGCACCCGATCCCTGGTAGCATTCCAAGGCAAGACTAGAGACGGTGGCACCCCAGTGGCCTGGGACTTTTTGCAGTAATGCCATTGTCCGTTGGGGTCAAAGAGCTCAGAGAAAGAATTCTAGCACTCCAGACCCCTCCTCTAGCAACAGGAAATGTCTATTTTTCTTAGGTCTCTCTTACTTAATCCAGCCATTCCACTGTTGATTTACCCAACAGCCATCAACAAATACTAGCTAAGATCCCAGGCCCTGAGCTGGGAACTTGGCTAGGAGGGTGAACAGAGACGAACCTGACATAAGCTCACACATAAGCTCTGAAATTTCCTTCTGTGAGCAAGCCTTTCTATCTGCAGGGCCATGGAGTGCCCAACCCACAGCAGGTGCTCCTTGATGCCTAAGTGCGGGATGAGTGGATGAATGACTAGCATGCAAGGCAGACTGCAATCAGTGAAATCAGTACTCATCATCAGAAGCAACAGTTAAGACCATGGGCTCTCATGCTAAACTGTCTGATTAGGATTAAGATGCTTCACTTCCAGGATGTAGAGCTGGTCCTTGCTGCCCAAGTATGAGAACCTAAGTTCAAATCCACAGCATCCACATAAAAAGCCAACACAGCTGTGCACACCTATAACCCCAGAAGTGGCTGTTGGGGGAACTACTGGGGGTGGTGGAGAAGGATCCCAGGGGCTTTCTGGTAACCAGCCTAGTGCCAGGGTCAGTGAGAGAAGGGACCGTATGAGTTTGATAGAGCAGACAGGACACTGAGGTCCTTCTCTGACTTCTGCGTGCACATGCATACACCACACATACACAATAAAAAAAAAAAAGATGCTTTACTTCCTTAGGCAAATCTCCCAAGTCTATGCCTCATGTCCCCATCTACAAAACAACAAGAGCCTGCCAGGGTTGTTAGGGTGGGTGTTCAATGCAGCGATAGTGGCAAGGGACTTGGAACAATACTTGTCCCTCAGTGCATGTTAGTGTAAGTGTTAAATAAACTAGTTAAGCACTTTGGCTTATGCTTCCTATATGTCCTCCATCTACCATCCTGGAAAGACTCAAAACAACTCTCCAAGAGAACTTCAACTCTCAAATCTCAAGAAAAAAAATGGAAACTGAGGCTCAGAGAGGTGACTCAGCAACAAATGGCAGGGATTTTCCCAGCTGGGAACTGTCTAGTTGCCAAGCGCTCTGCTGACACCTGTCACCACACAGCGTCCCTAGCCTCTTCTGGTGGGTTGATTCCTCAAGATACCTGGCTGTGCTGATCCAGCATGGTGGTTGATGCTAGTGGAGTAGACAGAACTCCCACAAATCCCAGGAGCACCCATACTTTACTGCTTCCTAAGCCTTCTGCATCTGCTGATTTTTTTTCCCTTCACAGCCACCAGGACAGAGTATGTGCTCTGCTGTGCACTGACTGATGGGAAAATGGCACTAGGGCGATCTCGTGTCCTGCCCAGAGTCTCACAGCCAATCAGTGACAGCAGCCTTGGCTCCAATTCCGGTCTCACCAGTGGCTGTTCCAGTCACTGCTCTTCCTCCCTGCCCCTTTTAGAGGCTCAGGAGACCAAGCCCTTCTAGAACGATGTGACCCCCACAATGCAGACAGCTCTGTGGTGGAATGTGTATTGAGGTGTCTCCCAGAGTAATCTTAGCAGCCCCCATCTATCAGAGCATCCACTGTGTCCCCCTCAGTCCTCTTCCCTGGTCACATCCCGTTCCCAGCTTCAAGATCCTCCTTCCAACCCTGTTGGCTCAGGACTCCGCCTCGTGACTCTTCTTCTTCGTGCCCATTGGTCAGTGGAGTCTGTAGAGGGAAGGACAGTGGCATTTGGCATTTATCTTAGGAAACCCACATCACCAATCCTTCGCCTCTAAACATTTCTCCAAAGTCTCTTCTCCCATGCAGAAGACATTTTAATTACCCTAGCTGCTATTATCGGTGGCAGCCAGCTTTGAGCCATTCCCAGATAACCCCGTGCTAATCAGCCCCAGCTGAGCCCCTGGTACATGTCATGTGTAGGTAAGAGCCTGGAGGTGAGAAAAGAATTATAATAAATTAATAGATAAGCAATCACAATTAATGCCACTTCCCGGCAATAACAGTTATATCATGGGAAAGATATTTTCATCTGTCGTTCCTTGAGGCCATGTTTTCCAAGCTCTGGCTTCTTCCCATTCAGACCCAAGGGATGCTAATGAATTAGTCTATTATGTTATGCTGAACATTTCTAAAAGGTCCCCAGTCGACAGTGAATTCAGTGTGTCAACATTTGGCATTGGAAATGCAACTTTTTGCCAAGTAGCAAAGTTGCCCACAGTTCACTGTGTAGAGCACTTAGGGTCTTGGCCCAGGGCAGTTTGAACAAAAAAGCAAAAACTGGAGCTGGACAAAGAGTCCTCTTCACTGACTCCTGGTTGTCACAGGGATGGGGGCACTCTGTGTCATAAGATCTACCACACGTTGCAGGAAAGCCCAGACCAGAAGGTGGCAAGGAAGGAAGTGACTGAGCCTTGCTACCCATCAGAGCCCCTTATGATTTGAATCTGGAATGTTCCCCCACAGACCGGCACTTCGGATATTTGTTCCCCAGCTGGTGGCAGTATTTTGGGAGACTGCTCCCAGAAATAGTCACCAGAAGTGGGTCTTTGAAGGGCATAGGAAGCTCCTGGTTTCTACCATGATTTCTGCTTCTTGGTCCACCATGATGTGAACAGCCCCTGCCACAAACTTCCGCCATCATGTTCTGAGCTGCTCTGCCATGCTTTCCCCCATCACCATGATGGAATGAAACCGTAAGCCAAAATAAACCTTCCCTCCCTTAAGTGGTCCTGTCAGCAATTTTGTCAGCCAGGAGAAAATAACTAACACATCTTCCCAGGCTGTGTGACTGTCTTGTCAGATCAAATGCTGCACCCGGATGGATACTGGAAGGGCAGCCTCACCAACATCCAAGTCTCCCTTCAAAGCAGAAGTGCTATCTCTTACACTGAGTCAGTCTGGCCTCTGAGCCCAGAGATGGGAAAACTGAGTCAGGGGCCCTGAGAAGGCTACTGTTTCAGCATCTATCAAGTCTAAAAAATCGGGTCAGCACTGAAACTGAAAGAACTAAAAGTGCCTGAACCCATGCTGCAGAGGCTGAAGATTGCAGCCCTGGGCAGAACTGGCTTCCCTTCTGTGTTCCCAGCAGTTCGGCTCTGGCTCCAACTTGCATAAACCACTGGCCTGTTCTCCATCCCACTGATGCTTTGAGGAAGATCTCTCAGGCCTGAGTGTTGAAGCAGTCCTTTAGGGACTCACCCTCCATCCCAGGCAATTCAGGCTACTCTCAACTTCCATCCTCACAGAGAGGCACCCCAAAGGGGAGATGAGTGCTTATATACTCCAGGATGTTGCTGGTTTGGTGACTCTTCTTTCAACAGTGGGGATCAAAGGTTCATAGGGATGACAGACCCCAGACCCTAACAGCTGTTACCAGTAAAGTAAAAACATCAGAAGTCCCAGGATAAAAGCCCAAGGACCCTTAACAGACCCTGCTATCAGTATGTAAAGGAAGAGTCAGGGAAGCTTCCTGGAAGAGGTGATGTTTGTGCTGAGTCTTAGAAAACAGCTCACAGAGGTTCTAAACAAAGGCCCGCTGTCCAGTGGGTAGGATGTGCAGAAAGTCACCCATCCCAGGATAAAAAGCAGGAGAGGATGGTATGGGAACAGGTAGCTCGGCCTTTATGGAGTAAAAACTGGGGGGTGGGCACAAGAAAGCAAGCTTCAGGGGTAGAAAGTCTCTGATCTATGCTAAGGAGTTTGCACTCTGAGAAACTGATACGACAATGCCACAGACTGAGTGTGTTATAAATGACAGGGACTGAGCTCATGTTCTGGAAACTGGCAGGTCTGGGACACGGTAAGGGCCTTCAGGCTCCATCATAGCACTGCAGAAGAGCAAGTGAGCGTGCATGAACCAGGAACTCTGCTGAACTTTGCATCAGGAGCCCCACCCGCCTAACTAACCCACCGCCACTCAGTATGTCACTGAGGGCAGGGTCCCTGTGGCCTAAATACCTCTTCTGCCAGTCACCCCTCCCCAATCCTCTTTCCTCACCTATAATAAAGGGGGTTGCTATGGAGATTAAAATGATGTGATGGTCCCCACCTATACTCTCCACTGAGATTGATGCCAGTTAGATACCTTCTGGCCGTGTTAGTATAGACTCCTCCCCTACTTCCTCCTGCTTTTTGTCAGCTTCTCCCCAGCCCAAACACAGGCCTAGGATCAGGACTGTATGGTTGCTTGGTTGCTTGTCTCTTGCTATTCACAGTACTCAGAGAAGGGGTTGGCTCCAGGACCTCCTTGGATACCAATGTCCGTAGATCCTTAAGTCTCCTGTATAAAACCGCATAGTGTTTACCTATGACTATACACATCCTCCCATATCCCTTAAATCATCTCTAGATTACTTGTAGTATCTAATACAATTTAAGTGCTGTGTGGTTACACTACTGTTAAGGGATGATGGCGAGAAAGAAAGTCTATGTGTTCGGTATAGATGGGCAATTTATAAAATTTATTTATCTATTTGTTTGATCCACGGTTGGCTGAATCCACAGATGCAGAGCCCGTGGACTTGGAAGACTGGTCGCATTTGTTTGGACAATGTTAGGATGAAGCTCTCTTGTTCAGGCTGATGTCTGTTCCAAGCTCCCCAAACCTCTAAAGGAATGATGCGCACAATGCCTTCCAGAAGGGGACCAGGTGGTTCGCAGAGTGGGATCTGCTCTATAGGCAACAGCCTGTGTCACGCGCCATCTTTGATTATCTGAGGCTGGCACAGCAGCAGGGCTAGAGTGAGGCTTTGGGTCCAGGGTGGAAGATGGCTCAGTGAGGGAAAGTAGAAAAAAACCAGACAGTAACCTTCAGACTCAATTTCCCTAGCCCTGACTCAGGCCAATCTACATTGTCAGAGTGTAGATTTTCAAAAGTCAAAACATGAATTTGAAGCAATTGTGGACTGAACACGTGTCAGAGTCAGAAGGGAACAGCCAGATGGTGAGGCAGAACGCTTGAGGATCTGGGTATGTATCAGGGTTCCAGGTAGGCAAGAGATGCAGAGTAAGTATCAGGTTACACACAAAATAGATTAATCTCCCCCAAAGCAATAAAATTATTACCTTGGGGGCTATCTTTTGTTCTGGACCCAAATCTATATGTTAAGATAGACCCTGGGGACTTTAACTAGAGCTAACAGTGAATTCTAACCCAGGGGAATTAGGGACCTTAGGTGGCCTGCAAGCGACAGGCAGTTCCTTATATTGGAAGAACATGGTGCTTCTCTTCTGCCTGTTTCTGAGTCTGAGATCAATTTGAATCTGTGGACTCCTGCGAAAGCTGACCTCCACACTGTCTCTTTTCTGCTAAGGGGCAGCTGGCTTCTCCATTGCCCTTCCTCTTGGCCTCTTGCCTCACAAGCCCATTTTCCTGAGCTGGAGCTGCAGGAGGGGCCGTAGCTTGGATGCCGTTTATGACCCTGGCTACCAGCCAGGGCCTGCCCAACTACCAGACTGGGTGTGACCTGACCATGGAAAATCTTCTGACCAACCACTCCTAGGAGGCAGAGCAAAGAGACCCTGCCTGTGACATGAGGAAGAGGAAGAACAGAGGGAAGTAGCCCTTGTCCCCTCTGAAGGGAGAAAATACCCCTGCCCTTGCCCTTCTGCCTCCCCTTGGTAACCTAGAGATGCCCAGACCCACTACTTTTTGTCCTCCCAAAGACAGAGGATTCCTCTGGGTCTTGTAAAGGAGAAAAAAATTCCCATTTTGTAGATCAAGAAACAAGCTGAGACCTTCCTCCCCCTCAAATCAGCACATGAAGTCAGTACCCAGAGATCTGAGTTGACTCCAAGTCCAGTGCTCCTGTGGGTTCTCAAGTTACCTTGCATGTACAGGACTCTACAGGGATCCACAACTCAGGCCCAGGGTGCCTAGGCCAGGAAGGTTCAGGAGGAGAGCCAAGGCTTCCAGCAGCAGCCGTTCCTCCATTACACCAAATTCTCCCTCCAGGATCTCTACGCACTAGACCTGGAGCCCTACCGCTACTCAGGGGTGAACCTGACTGGGTTCCGTATCCTCAACGTGGACAACCCCCATGTCTCAGCCATCGTGGAGAAGTGGTCCATGGAGCGGCTGCAGGCAGCTCCCCGGACAGAGTCTGGCCTGCTGGACGGAGTGATGATGGTATTGTGGGCAGATGGGCAGGCAAACCCTAGAGGTCTCCCTTCTCTCTCTTCTTCTCCCCTCCTATATTTCCTTTCCTTGCCTTCCTCCCTCATTCTTTCCTTCCATTCCCCTCACCTGCCACTTCTCTTCTTCAGACTTGCCACATATCATCCAGACCTCTGGGGACACAAAGATGAACTAGACATAGCCCCATCCCAAGGGCCACCTCTGATGGGGGTGCAGGTCTTTAAAAAGAAAATAAAAGCTAAGGACTGTAGGTCCTGGGCACAGGAAACAGGCTGTGACTGGCAGGTATGAGGCTGGGGAAGCAGAAAAAGAGGTTGAAACTAAGTAATGGATGTGGCAGAGTCTGGTAGGAGAGGGCCTGAGCTGCAGAGAAGGTGACATTGGGGGTGTCCACAGACTAATAGCATCCCTGAGCCTGGCCTCTTTCCAGGACAAGAATAGGGACACCATGAGTTTGTAATGGGAAAGGGGCAGATGGGGCGGGAGCTGCGGACACAGGAACAGCACTCAGGCAGGCTTGGACCCTCTGCAGACGGATGCAGCCCTGCTCTACGACGCTGTCCACATCGTGTCCGTGTGCTACCAGCGGGCGCCACAGATGACTGTGAACTCTCTGCAGTGTCACCGGCATAAGGCCTGGCGCTTTGGCGGCCGCTTCATGAACTTCATTAAGGAGGTGAGCCCTGTACCCCACTAAGGACGCCCCCTGAGTCTGCACATGCTCTGAAGTAGCGGAGAGTCAGGGGACTCAGATTTGAAGGTCATACAGGATTAGTTTCTGTTGTGTGTGAACTTGGACGGGTCGCCTCTCATCTCTGAACTTCAGTTTCCCTTGGGTGAAATGAACTAGTCTTAAAAGTGATCAAGAAGCCCCAGTTCTCAGTGACTGCTAAGTGCTAGTGGTCAACCTGGTGGGCAGGCCATAGCATAGGCTTCAGTGGACCACAGATGAGGGGCTTTACATTCCAGCAATGTGACTGGCGTAAGCTAGAGAGCCTTGCTGAGCTGCTGTCTTTCATCTGTAAACGGGATGAGGATGAGGCACGCCATCTCATGGGGGTGCCGTGAAAACAGAATGAGGCACCACGTGAGAAGTGCTTGGTGCACCAAGGAGGCTTGATGACTGATAAGTGTCCCTCAAACTCATCCCCACACCACGGGTCCACAACCAACCCCCAGCAGAGCCTGCTGGGACCCTGCTCTCCCAGCACTGTGGTCACTGGCCCGTCACAGAGTTGACTGGAGGCCCAAGAGCCTGGGGCATGCCCTGCTGAGATGACCATGAGACAGTGTCTGCTCTGAATTCCACAGGATCCTTCCTCTGTCACTGTCCTCATTGTTGCTGGACAACTTATAGTTCCTATCTTCAGGTGAGGGAACTCAGTCCCAACCTCACATGCCAGTGACATTGCACTGGGCTCTGTGGCTTAGGGTGAGATGACCACCTCTCCACTCCTTAGTTCAGAACTGATGGGAAGACAGAATAAAAATCTACACATAGAGCACATTGCCCAAGGTTTGACTAAAGTCCAGCCCTAGTAACCAGCAGCCAGGGAGGACTGGAGAGGCCAAGATCTGAGTGTGGCTACATTGGGCCAGAATGAGTGAACCCTGCCCAGGGCAATACCAAGGAACTTAGGGGAAGCCTTCTGGGTAGTTCCAGATAGACTGTCTCTCTATGATGAGAGAATATGAGCAAGCTGCCTCAGAGTTCATTCATTTACTGATAACCATTGGCTGGGTACCCTGGAGCTGGATTCAAAGGGATGCGCTGCCTGGCACAGCAGGTGCAATGGCTCTGATGCTGTTTCAGTCATTTGTGGTCACTCTAACTGCCTTCTGGGCTATGGACTCTATCTGGAGGGCTGCCAGGCCACATTATTTCAGGGACCCCACCCTCTTGGAAAATGTGAGGCTCAGCCATGAACCCCTGATAGGAGCAGATTCCCCCATTGCTTAACATAGTAAGGAGAGTCCCATCCCCCCCTCCTGGCGCTGACCAGCCCAGGCTGGGTGGACACTCCCGCCCCTTACATTCTTCCCTGCCCTTTTTAGGGGTATGGGGGCAGAGGCCAGAGCAGCCATGAGGTACCCATGGCACACAGCTGGCCACATCTAGAACATAGGTGCCCTGCAGAGCCCGGCACAGTCTTCCCTCTGTCCATTTTCAAGTTGCCCATCTTCCCATCTGAGTGCGTGACGGTAAATCATTTTAAAGACTTGGCATTTCCGAGAGGAGCTGGAAAATACCAGGCCGGAGTTCAGAGCCTGTGAAGCATCTTTCATTTAGCGAGTCTTGAGCTGTGGCTGGAGGGGGGCGAGTGGGCTGGGAAATGTCATGGGGAGGAGCTGCCCATGACTCCCTGCCCTGCCCCTGCCCACCCACCCCCAGACAGGCCGAACCCACTGGCATTTAATTCCTCTGGAGCTGACAAGGAGGAAGGCCTCCTCTGCAGGAGCCAGGCAGGCTGAAGGCACCTGCTGAGATTTCCCCAGGGGGCCAGCAGATAGCCTGAAGGTATGAGGGGGCTGCAGCAGCGAGGGAAGGCAGAGGGATGGAGAGTCAGCCTGAGGGAAGCCAGGCCTCCCTGTGAAGTCATAAACAGCTTTTCAACTTCTCAGATGGTCCTTTAATCTCTTGGCTCTCAGTTTCCTGGGCTCCCTTTGAGCTTTCTTTGCTGTACCTTGGTTCCTAGACCCAAGCCTTCCTGATGTGCTACTGTAGAGAGAGGATCTGCCCTGCCCCGCAGACTCAGTCTATCTTTGGTTGTGTGTGTGTGTGTGTGTGTGTGTGTGTGTGTGTGTGTGTGTGTGTGTGTGTGTGTGTGTGTGTGTGTGTGTGTGTGTGTGTGTGTGTGTGTGTGTGTGTGTGTGTGTGTGTGTGTGTGTGTGTGTGTGTGTGTGTGTGTGTGTGTGTGTGTGTGTGTGTGTGTGTGTGTGTGTGTACCTCTGGCCTCCCCATGAATGGTGCACATTCATGGGGAGGCCAGAGGTAGACCATGAGGTGTCTTCCATTATCACTGTCTACCTTGGCTTTCTTGAGACAGGGTCTCTCTCATTGAACCTAGCACTCAATGATTGGCTAGGCTAGCTACCCAGCGAACTCTGGAGATCCACCCATCTCCATTCCTCCACCCCTAGCCCCAGTACTAGGTATACAAATTAATGCAACCACACCTGACTGTTTTATGTGGGTGCTAAGGATCCAACCCAGGTCATTATGCATCCCTGGCAGGCACTTTACTGACTGAGCTTTCTCCCCAGCCCCTCAGTCCATCTTTGAACATCAGTGTCCACATCTGGGAAATGGGAGCAATGATGAGTCCTCCTAGCAGGATCACAGTGAGAGCTCAGTAGGCTGTGGAAGGGGAAGATCACAACCCTCAACTTCCTTCTGGAGCCTGGCCCAGCCCAAAGGTCTGTTCTTCCTCTCCAATTGAGGACCAGCCTTACTTCTAGGGAGCTTCTTGGGCTCTAGATACCATAAAGGAAAAATGATAACTCACAGCACTGTTGTGATCATACACACAAACACACTACCCACCTCATTAAGCACTTGTGAAGTGGGTAACCTGTGCTGTCCTGACTGAGCTGCTGTACAAAGTTCATGTTCCAGTCTCTTGTTTTACAGACTCTGGGCCCCTGTGGGTGCTACCTCTGAGAACACCTTTTTTCTATCTACCCCCTCCCCCTTTTTGTGGGGTAGAGGTTGAGGCAAGATCTCATTAAGTAGCCCAGGCTGGCCTTGAACTCACTCCACCCGTCTCTGCCTCCCAAGTGCTGGGATTAAAGGCATGCACCACCACACCCGCAGACTCAAAAGTTTTAAGTGCAAACCAGCAAGACCCAAGGCAAGGGATCCAGTCAAGGGGCGGGGCCTTGGGAAGAGTTCCAGCTTGGCTCTAACTCTTGTGCGGTAAGAGTTTTGGAACTCCCAGCCACCCTCTCCAGCCTGTTTTCCCACCTGTAACATGGGAATCATGTTCCTCACCTGGTCAGCTCTCAAGGCTACTAGGAAAGTTGAGTGACACAACTTCCAGAATTAGCGCTCTGGGGCTGGGGAGCTGGATCCATCGATAAAGTGCTGCACAAGCATGAGGACCAGTTTGGGTCCCCAGCATCCACATATAGAACTGGCCACAGCACACATCTGTAATGTCAACACTGGGGATTCAGACATAAGATGGATCCCTAGAGCTCACTAGCCATCAGCCTAGCCAAATCAATGAGCTCCAGGTTCAGTCAAACCCTGTCTCAAAACATAAAGTGAAAGGGCTAGGAAGATAGCTCAGTAGATAAGAGCACTTGCTGTGTAATCACAAAGACCTGAGTTCGGATCCCCAGCACCCATGTAAAAGCTAGGCATGACTTCCTGTGCCTGTAACCCCAGCACTGGGGGACAGAGTCAGGTGGATTCTCAAGAGCTGCTGGCCAGTTGGCCTCAACATTGAGCTTCAGATTAGGTGAGATATGCTGTCTCCAGGGAATAAGACAGACCACAATAGAAGAAGATACCTGACCTCCTCCTTTGGCCTCTACGTGTGCATGCATGGCCATGTGTACCTACACACTTACATGCAGACAACACACACACATTTAGTGATTATAATGACAATAATAATAATAATAATAATAAGTGAGGTGGAGAGAAACTAAAGAACACATTCAACATTGACCTCTGGCCTCCACACACATACACACACCCAAAACACACATGCGTGCACACACAATAATCACCCAGGAGAGATATAGCCCAGAATAGCACTGGCAAACCTCTGTAGGTAGCAGAGCTCCCCATTAGTCATGGCTGCAGCCAGACTGGTCCACTGTGGCCTAGAAGATGGTCTGTTGTAAAGTTTCACCTGCCTCTCTCTGTGTTGATGACAATAAAGTAAAAGAAACTCCCATTTATGCCGGGCCTGCGTTAGGTCTGGCTTATTTTATCTGGCTTATGTCATTCTCACAGCATCTTGAAAGATGGGTGCCATGATTATTTCCATTTTATAGCTGAGGAAACTGAGGCAGAGAGGTGAAATGGAAGGCTCAGGGACACAGAGCTAATGAAGTTGAACCCAGACTCGGACCCCAGAGTTCTCAACGGTGGAGTGCATGGAGCTGGGGCAGAGAGTCGGGGAACCTTCTCCAGCTCCCTGCCTCTCTGGGGTTGCTGCTCCAAGGATATGGCTTTAGAACCAGAGCCAGATAGGCCCTTGGGCATTTCTGCCTCTTGGTGGGTCTCACTTGCCCCAGCTCCACCCTCCCGCCTCCCTGGTCCTCTCCAGGGATCTGACATGGGCTCCCCCTTCCCAGGGCTTCGAGGCGGGGGCTCATTTAAGCGCATCCGAGATCGATGTTGTACACGAGAAGGTGCAAATGTAGAGCTGGCTAAAGAGTGTAATAGAATTTATGGAAATCGCTGGCTCGCACCGCAGCCCGAGCAATGATGGAGGTGATTATTAATTAATCATGGTCTTGGGGGAACAGTATCAGTGCAAGGAGTAATTAAAATGAAGCATTGTACAGTTGTACCGAATGATGATTTATGAGCCCCAGGAATTGCTGCTCTGCCCTCTCCCTTCCATAGGCTCAATGGGAAGGATTAACTGGACGGATTGTTTTCAACAAAACCAGTGGTTTGCGGACCGATTTTGATCTGGACATCATCAGCTTGAAGGAGGATGGCCTGGAAAAGGTGTGTGGGCTCCAGGGGAGGCTGGCCAGAGGGGCAGGGATGTCAGAAGCTGCCTTCAGCAAGCCTGAGGCAGAGGTCCAGGAGCAGAGGGCCAAGGCCCACTGTGGCCAACCCCTCAAGATCTGACATGACCCAGGGGGGCCTCTGCAGAGCTGTGGGCCAGAGGAGACCCTGAGGCCCTGTTACACTGCAAAATGCCAAGCTCAGTGGCCTCAATAGAGTAGACACTCATGTCATCAATGGCTCTGTGAGCTAGGCCTGTCAGGGACACAACCTGGAGAACATAATCAAAGACTCATGGCACAGACAGACTATCTCTAAGTCCCTGCAGGGCTGGGACAGGGACAGGAACATGTATGTTCTTGGGTAAGAGAAACTTTGTAGTCTTCATGGGTTGCCTGACTAGGGGCAGTGAGCTCACCATCACTGGAGGCATGTAAACAAAGATGGAATGATTACTTGCCTAGAGACTGAGAAAATCCTTACCACAGAGAGAGGTAGAAACCCTGGTGTCTGGGCTCCTCAGCTCAGGCCACAGACTCCAGAGACTTTGGTCAAAGAAAGCATGCTCATTTGATCAACATCAATATATTCTAATGAAACCCATTCCAGTTCCCACAAACCTTCAGCACGTACTGTTAAAGTCAATCTGTGAGGCCAAGAAGGGGATTTAAATGAGCCCCCAGTTCTCAGCATCTGTAGGACCCCTAGGGTGGGAGGCAGGGGCTCAGCCACATCCACCCCACTTTTGCTAGTCCCTGGGAGCCACCCCGGCACCCCTCCAAACCTGAGAGATGGCATGTATAAATGCAGGTAGCAGAGGCCAGGTAGCTAGAGGGGTCCCTTTGCTGACACTGGACCTTCAAGACAGGCTCTTCTCCTTCCCTCCCTGCACACGTGGCTCATCCTCTGCCATGAGTTATTATAGAACCCCTCTCTGGCTGTTCCCTTTCATTTGTGAGCCCCCATTCATCCCAAATGTACAGACAGATGGAGCTCCCCTAAGCCCAGCCCTTTCTGGCTCCCATGCTGCCCATGGCTCCCCAGTTCCAAATCAGTATGCTGAAGCCCTTCATTAGGGCTTGGGGACCCTGAGAAATTCCTCAGCTGGTCTCCCTAACTTAGTCTCTCCTGCCCCTGAGAGTGACCTCTGTAACTCCAGCATGGGCCTGGCTCTGCTTCACGTCCAGCACTAGCTTCAGAGTGCCTATGGCCATGGCTCCCCATTTCCCCTCCTGAGTTCTAGTCACTGTGTAGGGGAGGTGTGGCCAGGAAGTCTCACCGTTCATCCACATTAGTGTGACATCAGTTCCCAAGGATAGGGGCTGAGGCCTCTGTGGGGTCTCTCCCTCCCCTCAGGGGTCATTGGCCACCGATCCACGAGAACAAAGGGAGCGGAAGCGACAAACGGGGTCAGGACAGCCAGTGAGCACTGACAGAAGAAAGTCCCTCCGGGGAGGCAGATTCAGTGATACCTAAGAGCCTTTAGCTAACATCAGAGAGTAGCCCTGATCAGAAAGCCTTAGTTGCTCCTTTGTCTTTAACGGTCACAGGCGAAGACTCAGACCGAAAAGAAAAGGAGGAAAAAGAGGAGAGACTGCCAATTCCCAAGGGTGGGGCGGCTTAGAGGCAAAGCTGCCTTTATCCTCCTGATGGGAGGTGATAGGAAAAAGAGATTGCCGATCCTCAAAGGTGGGATGGCTTAAAGGCAAAGCTGCCCATTACATTATTGATGGGAGGGATACTCACAAACTCTGTGCATTCCAGGAGCCCCACGTTCAGGCACCAGCTGCGGGGTTCTCTCCATATCTTCGCGGGTCATTGGCCAACGGTTCATGAAGGCAGGGGGAGCAGAAGTGACGAATGGGGTCAGGAAGGCCAGTGAGCACTGATGGAAGAAAGCCCTTCCAGGGAGGCTGGTCCAAGGTGCAGTGAAACAGCAGTGATACAGCTCCAGACACAGTGGAAGAGCTCCATTTATTCAGTGAGAGAACTAGAGAAATTACAGTGTGGAGGCAATAGCCAAAGCCTCAGCTGATAGGAGCTCATAGTATGCTTTATTTACATGTGGCAGGGGGATCCTATCATCTGACTATAGGGCGATGCCAAAGGTCATGTTCCAAATAAGGTCAGGCATCCGTGCTTGGTGGCACTTTCCAGGTAAGTCAGGCAGAGAGCAGGAGGCCCCGCTGAGAAAGGGAGTCCTTCCATATAGTGCTGAGCCCCTTAGAGCTATCCGGACATGGAGGACTACAACCTTAGCAGCAGGGTCCCCCAACAGGCCTCCTCTCCTAAGATCACTGAGGCCTGCTGTTCTAACCCTAGGCACACTCCTTGAGTTTTTGTCAAGTTTCTCTTAGACTCCCTACAGTGCTAGAGATCAACCTCCTGCCTCAGCAATACAGATGTTGACTTGGTACTCATGCAGGTGGCTGGCTTAGTTTTGCTCTCTCTGCTATTTATCTTAGGGATAGCATAAAATTCTAGGGATAGTAGATAGATGGCACACATGCCACTGCTTTCTGCTCCTATGCTCATGGCAGGCATCAGTAATTGATCACCAGAGCACTCTTGTCGTCTGAGCCCCCACTGCAACGTCTATCTCCCAACAGCCCTCCAGGCAGCTGGTACAAATTGACCGTAGCTAATACTTGAGAAAAATTCTATTATCCCTGGATGGAGTTTGGCCTGTAGGGCACCCACCAGAGGCTCCTGGTCACAGCCACCTGGGTCTGTAAGTAGAGAGCCTCTTCGCTCCTGTTCATTCTTTCATCCCTATAGTGCCTGCCATCTGCCAGGACACTCAGTCACCACATAGTACAGCTTGTTGGGTGGAGGCTTCCTGCTGTTCATGCACCTCTGGACAGATGTTCAATGAGTGCCTCCTGCACCCAGTCCTCTGCTCAGCACCCCAGCACTGAACTTGGCCCATTTCAGAGAAGGGCCTCTTCAGTGTCATCTGCCTGTCTCCTCTCCTGTGGCCCCAGTGGTGCACACAGGATGAGAGCATGCTGAGCCCCCAACACAGCCACTCTGCCTCTCATTGCCTCACTTCTGTTTGCAAAGCTGGGTCAGAGCTGATCCAGCTAGCACCAACCGGTGGCTTTGGGAGGATTAAGGCAGAAGTACCCAGGCATAATTACACATCTCTCCGTTATCTGTTCTGCACAGCTCTCTGAGTGGGATGTTTGCATTCGGCCTCTCTGTTTAATTGATTAGGTTTCCTGAGTACCCCCAACAGGGCCAAGGACAGAGTGGGCAGTCTGATGCCTTCCCTGAAAGAGAGGAGCCAAGATGAAGGCCATCTGGACAGAGTTCATTCAGAAAGCACCTGCACGAGGCCCAGGGCTTTAGAATGACTTTTAAAAATGTATTACATTTATTTATTCAGTGTGTACGTGTGTGTGTGTATGTGTGTACATACATGTACATATACATATGCACATGTGGCGATCAGAGGACAGCTTTCAGGAATTAGTTCTCTCCTTCTACCATGTGGTTCCCAGAGTCAGAACTCAGGTCATCAGGCTTGGCCAAGTACCTTCACCCACCGACCCATCGCATCATCCTAAGATGACTTGTAAACCCAATCTCTCCTTCCCAGACTTCAGCCTCTGATTTGATATTAATAAGGACACTGTGGGGAGAGCTTCCCCTACAGGGTATCCGCCTACTTTAGAAGTAAAAGAAACAGCAAAGCAAACTGCTTTCAAGCCCCCCAGTGCGGTTCTCTCTCCTGATGCTATCACCCCAAACAGTTTCCAAGACCAGTTTGCCTACTCACCACAGCTCCTCCTTTACTTGGTCCACACATGTGGGAGGCTTCTACCTTGTCCCAGGGGGAGCACCTCCCTCGTTCCAGACTGAGCTGGACTGTGCAAGATATCTGGCCCTGGAACCAGAACTGGATATATGGATGGGGTGGCTCCCATCTGCTTCCTCAGAGCCATGGAGAAAGCAGCTAGGTGCCCAGCCTCTTTCCAGGAGGTGTCCCTGGGTGTGCCTGACACTGGACTAGGATCCCGGACCCCTCCATGCATTTCCCCTTCATCTGACAGGAGTTTGTCAACAAGAAGAAAGGGGAGAATTAAAGAGAGGCAACACCTTGGAGGGAGGGCAGCAGGGTTGTCGCCAAAACGGTTCACTTAAGACATGCAGGAGATGACAATGACAACAGCAGTGGTCATGATGACTGGAAGGAGAGGGCTGTGTTGATGTAGAGAAAGAAAAGGAAGGCTGAGGACTCAGCACCTGCTTTGCATTTGTCTGCCTATCCAGGTTGGGGTATGGAGTCCAGCTGATGGTCTCAACATCACTGAAGTTGCCAAAGGCCGAGGTCCTAATGTCACTGACTCGCTGACAAATAGGTCACTCATTGTCACCACAGTGCTGGTAAGAGCCACAGGCCCTGCTGGGAGGGCTATCTGTCCTGGGGCTGGGGTGGCCATCTGGGCTGAGGGACCCCCTCGATCCCCCACCAGTCACATCCTGGGTGTCCGTAAGGAGGCTCTTAGGAGACAAGGAGACAGTAGCAAAAGGGGCCACAGGAAAGTAGACATTTGTAGGAAGGTTCAGGAAGCTCTTAGAAGGTGACTGGAACCCAGACCTCTGCCCATGCCTCAGTGGAAAGTCTGTGTTTGGCACTTCACCCACACACCTGAGCACCTGCCCTCTCAGTGTGGCTGTAGAAAGGGCTTGACTACTCATCACAACAGGACTAGGGGCTGCTTTCCCACCTCAGGTTCTAGGGCCAAGGACCATTCTTCCCTTGAGTCCCTCAAGGGTACAGAGTGCTGTGGCCATACCAGATAGCCTCAGGTGCTGGGAGGCTATGCACATACCACACTGCATAGGGTTTATAAATCCCAAGAGCTGGTGACCACGACCTCTCCACCTGAATAGAGCAATAGCCCGTCCTTCCCTTCTCCTCCTGTCCCTGTTCCTCATTCTCCTGACTCATTTCAGCCAGAAAGTGGCTCTTAGGGTCTCCCAGGTTCCCCGCGCCTTGCAGCTCGCAGCCACTGGCCTTCCCTTCATCATCAGTACTGTACCCGTCCTCACGTGCCACCGCCTCGTGGAGGACTACAGAGATGAGCAGAGGGACAGACACTACATCACACACTGCTTTAGGGGGCAGTTCTCCCCTGACCAGGACCACCTCAGGGAGAGGCAGCCTGGCTACAGCCCAGGAGAAGCTGACCCCTTTGAGGATAATTCTGGCCTGAGTCATCTTTTGAGAATACAGCAAATAAATGTGTAAGACTCACAGCTGAGCTTATTCCTATACGTAAAAGCAAACTGGGTCTGTCTTGGGCAAGGCCTGGACTCAGACTGAGCAGCTGGACTGGAGACTTTCCACAGTGTATGGATGGGGGTGGCTCACATCTGCCTCCTCAGCAGATGCAGCCCAGCCAGGCCATACTGGACAATTCCCACCCCCCATCTAGTGTGACTCACTATGTATGTGTGGTTGGGTGGTGGGCACCATGGAATAGTTAGGGAGGCATTTGTAAAATGTTTCATCCTTCCAGGAATCCCAGGGACATTGGGGTGCTATCCTTGTTGAGGGGAGTTAAGTCAGTGGGTCTCATTCCCTGTCCCCAGGGTCATAATCACTGAGAACTCCTGTTAAAGGCCATAGAAATCAAATGGGGATCGTAGACAGGCAAAGAACGGGGGAGACATGCCCCTCCCCTTGGGGCAAGACTCTCCCCCCCCCCAGGATATCTTCCCAACAACCACATACCCTGCCAGTCCTTATGAATCAGCTTTTTGTTTAGGAGTCAAATACTAAAACCGTAAGTCAAAAGATCTCAACGGGAGCAGGAGAAAGACTCTAATATAAAAATATAAATGATAAAAATAAACAAAAAAGCACCAAGGGATTTGAAGGATACTGATGAGCAATTAAAGGAATATGGATGTGGATAAAAATAGAAAAGATAAAGGACAGCAGGAGGAGAGCTAAATAGGAAGGTTAGAAAGGAAATAACGGAGAGAAATGAAGGGAAGGAGGGCGATTGAAGGGGAAGGTATTAAGAAAGACGAAAAATTAAATAATTTACAACTCTGGCTAGACAAGGCAAAAATGTTAAAGCAAAATGTCAAAAAGGAAAAGGATAAAAGTATGACAACGCTAAAATATAAAAGGGTAAAAATAAAATAATAAAAAGGTGGTAAAAGATTAAAAGCAGAATTGCATAAAATGTGAGATCTAAATAAAACACTTTTGCAAGGCAAGATTGAAACAAGGTAAGAAGACTAGGATTTGAGAGAGGAGGAGGAGGAGAGGTGACTGAATGAGCAATGGAGACGCAGCCGCACAGCAAAGCTCTAAACAGGGAGCGGGAGCTGCGGACTCACCACCAGGACGCAAAAGGCAGCCATCTTGAAAGACCCCGAGGTCACATCTCACTGGAATGACAGCCCCCCACTTCAAGGGCTTGGGCTATTCTGCAGAACAAGTTTTTTGTTTTTTCTTGAGGAGCTGAATCAGGCAGACACTCCATGCTCTTGACCTGTCAATCTTCCATTTCTTCATCAATACTTAAGCTGTTTCCCAACCTGCTGGGTTCACACCATCACCGGAGGTCCCATCCCCAGTACTGGCTGACTCCCAGGCACCCTACGAGGATGAGGAGGGAGATAAACCTACTTTGGCTCATGGCCTGGACACAGCTCCATCTGTCCCACCGTCCCTTAGCCTCAAGTCAGCTGGGTAAAAAAGGCCCAGCTGGTCTTTGGCACCTGTGGGGACCTGGGGACAGCACTGAGCAATGGCTAAGAGCACAGACTCTGGAGTTAAGTCTTGGCTTCTCTATTGATTGTGTGGGCCATATAAAAGAGAAGAGACAGGAACAATCCAGCACTTCCTAGAGTTGAGAGGATGAATGGTTAACACACCCACCAATGGGGCGAGTGCTAAACGAGAGCCATTATTGTAATTCATTGCTATTGATTGCACATCCAGACCCCAGTGAGCTCAGGTTGAATATAACACACTGACTGAGAGTTCTGGAGAAAACCTCCATCTGTATCCACAGGCAGAACCCTGAACTTCACCAGAGACTGAGTGTGGTCATAATAGTGATCCCTGTAAGGGGCATGTGCTATGAATTCTGAGTTCACATTTGCATGCTTTTCAAGGCCAAAAGGCTTTCCTGGGCCCACTCCTGACCCTTCCACTCCCCACTGGGTTCACACTCTCTGCTGTGCAGTTTTAAAGTTTGTTACTTGAACTTTGAAGCCACTCAGAGGTCTAGCTCCCAACTGAGACAAAACTCTGGATTGACCTCTACCTTTTCCCCTTCCTTGGCCACAGTCTGAGTTCCTGGCCCTAGCAGCAGGCTAATTCCTTATCCCTGGCCCCAGTGCTTTGACCTCTAACCTAGCTGCCGACCCATTTGACGGAGACACCCCACTGCTTGTGATGGAAACACACAGCACCCTAACCTTGCTATAAGCATTACATACCCACATGGCCTGGAAGTGGGCATGATTCAGCTGTGTCCACCCCCACCCAGCATCACTAGGAGGTCCTCTCTGCTTCTCCCAGATAGAGAGTGAGAAAATCCTGGTCTTCCCTGGAGGCAGGGGAGGGGAAACCTCTCTGTAACACACAGCTTTAACACAGGTCTCCAAGAAATGCTGTCCAGGTGAAAATGGCCTCAGAGTTTCCTGGGAGGCCTGCAAGACCTGGTCTCAGGCTCCCTGAAAACCTAGAGCTGTTCCACAGATTTCAGAGAAGGAGCCTGACATGCCCAGGTCATCCTGTACATCTGGAGCCTTGGGGCATGCTTTCAAGGCTTAGGCTCCGTGACAGCTGCACAGGTCGTGGGGAGTGTTTCAGCCTGGCCCTGATCCGGATGTCCTGGCTGAAAACTCATCCCCATGCTTGGCTGCCTGTATGTAGGACCAGCACCTCCTGCTGAGAGTGTAGGCCCCTGCCTGGATGCCCTTGCATTGTCAGGGCAACTGCACTTTGAGTGACTGGCAGGTAACAAGGCACAGGATAAGATCATCAAACTGTTCTGCCCCTGGGGAGCTAGGCCTAGAGGTGAGAGCCCTGGTGAGAAGGACTGCCCCTCCTGTCCTTTCTTCCTGGCATGCAGCAGCAGCTCTGTGGGCTCCCGAAACCCACCTCTTAGTCTCCCCTGTCCTGAGTCCTTGGGGATTAGATGCACTGGGTGTCTTGCCCTGGACAGACAGATGGACAGAGGTTGCTCTGCCCTCTGACTCTTCAAAGCGCAGGCCCCATTCTGGAGCTGGAAGCCTGTCCTGCTGCCCTCCCCACAGACCCAGCCTCTCTTCTGGTTCTGCTCTTCCATGAGCTTATGAAAAATTCATGTGCCCAAACCTCAGCTCACACGGAGAAAGTGCATGCAATGCGCTTCTGGGGCCCTACTTTTGAAGGTTCAGAGTTCTTTAGGCTGTGGGTGTGAGTGACAGTTGGGGTGCACATGGGTGAATGTGAATGTGAGGGACCGGCCACACATGGTCTCTGGAAACACATCAGCGTTGCGTGTACACTGTGACCCACACAGGTTCAACTGCCAGGCATGCTGACGCCCAGCACCCAACAGTGGGAAAAGGGGGAAAGCCCAGGGCTGGGAATCATCTGGACCCTCCCACTGGAGGAGCAGGATTTTGAATGCCCTGTCTTGCTTTATGCTGCAGAAGCCAAGGCCTTCAGTCAGGGGCCCCGATCTTTGTGTCCAAGCCAGGCCAGGCAGACAGAATACGGGAGCATGTGGACCATTTTACCAAAACGGCCTAAGTCACGGCACTAGGGGACTCAGCTAACAAGTGGTTAATCCCTGATTCCTTCTTGACTTGGGGATGACACCCTCTTCCTCTTCCAAGCTCTCAGTCCTGTTCTTGGGAGAAGCTTAGCTCTGGGCCTGGCTCGCCTATTGCTAAGTGATTGTCATGGACCCAGATGGAGAGCCCGATGACTGAAAGTCGGAAAAGGTTATTTTTCTGGACCCCTGTTTTCTGTGACTTGTTGAGGAGAAATATTACCCCTGGTCCCACGGCTCTTCTCCCAGAGCAATAGGAGAGCGTGAAGTTATGAAATTGAGGGCACCTTCACTGAGCAATCGATTAGCAGCTGAGAGAGCCGGTGAACTGGCTGTCTGGACATTTCCAGTAATAAATTGTGAAATAGTCCATGAATAAGTAGTCGTGGAGTTGAGAATTACCCCCTAGGAAATGTTGCTGGGCTGGAGACGCATTACTAAGGCGAGCACCATTTTAATGCCCTGGGCTTCAGCTGTTAAATATGTATGCCGTCCGCAAAGCACTTCCCGAAATTAATGGCATTTTACAGCTGCTCCGAAGGCAGCGTATTTAGATGGAGATGTATAGATTCTGGGGCTGTGGTGGTGGCTTCACAAATGAAGTGCTAATTTTAGAGGCTAAGGCAAGGAATGAGGGTGAAGGGGGTCAGGGAGGGAGCCATCCCAGGGGCTTTTCCCAAATGATGCCCCCCCCCACATCTGCTGATGGTCATGATTCTTACCTGTTGGTGACATTGGATGTGGTTTCTAGGAGGGAAAGGTCACTGCAGTAACAGGACAACCAGCATACAAGAAGGGGTGACCGTGATTAACAGTGATGATGATGATGATGATGGCAGCTGACATTTGCCAGGCACAAAGTGCTCTTCCTAGGTGGGGACTAATTTTGCCCTCACAATACTCCATTAGAATGAGTTCTGTTAGTATCCCCATTCTACAGAAAGGGGTGGGGATCAATCTGTATCCCGGTAGTTCACCCGGGAAACGATGATACTTTCTCTCTAATTCTTTCCTTGAGCTAACTCAGGCCAGGGCCACCAGATACAACAATGTAACTTGCTCACTGCACAAGAGCATCAGTCAAAAGGGTAAGTGGACCAGCATCCCACCCAGGCCTTTTGCAAACCCAGGCCCTCCCCAGCGTGCAGGGGCAGTATGGACCAGGGGAAAGTTAAGGTTCCTTTGCCTCCAGTTGTCATGAGCACCTAACTGAGGCCCACCTGAACTCTCCTCTCTTATGGAGCTGTTTGCCTGACTGGAGGGTAGGCACCAGAGGCACTGAGGTCTAGGCTAGAACTAACCCAGAGGTCTATGTTGCCTTGCAATTACACTAAGAAATGTCTGCAGAATCCCTGGTGTGTTGGGAACCACCTATGAGATCAGGCACTTTCTCTTTCTCGAAGTCCCCAAGGAATCTCAGAAGCTAGAGCAGACTTGTCAGGTGGGATGGCATGTTGGGAAGCTGAGGGACCAGGGTGGAAAAACCAAGCCCACCTGCCACAGCAGGAGCCTGGCTCGAGGCTGCTAGTGATCTCTGCTCCCAAGGACCCCCCCCAACAAGTATTGTCACCAGAGCTTCCCACTGCCCACCCCACCCTAGGGGTCTATGGGGGTCAAAAGAAGGGCCTTGTCAGTGTGGAAAATAATGAGACCCTTCTGTAAGTAAGTGTGTGCATGTGTGCACACATGCACATATGTGCACCCAACAAACATATACATATGTGTGTGTATAATAAACAAGAGCCTTGGCAGGTATGGTGGTATAGCTTTTAATCCTAACCCTTGGGGGGTAGAGGCAGGAGGATAAAGAGTTCAAGTTCATCCTTGGCTCTATAGTGATTTCAAGATAAGCTCAGGAGGAGCCTACCTCCACCCCAGCCCCTTAGCCTGGCATCCCCTCTCCTTTCTGTCCCCACAGGAGGAGCCCTTCGTCATGTTTCGAAAATCAGACAAGACCCTGTATGGTAATGACCGGTTTGAGGGCTACTGTATTGACCTGCTCAAGGAGCTGGCACACATTCTGGGCTTCTCCTATGAAATTCGGCTGGTGGAGGATGGCAAGTACGGGGCGCAGGACGACAAGGGCCAGTGGAACGGCATGGTCAAGGAGCTCATTGACCACGTAAGCTGAGGCTGGGGTGTGGAGGTTGGACGAGGACAGGGCCAGGGGAGGTTTAGTGAGTTGGTACTTGAATATCTGGGCATTCCAGCAGGTGAAGGTCTGGGAACTGGGGAGATGGACGTGTATGTTGTGTGCTTGGAGACTGGTGGATTCATAGAAAGAAGTGAGCCCAGCTTTGCTGGGCCAGCCTTGCCTAGGCATCCCACCCGCTGATGTCCTCTCCAGTGAGCCTGCTTAAGGCATCTTTAGTGAGCCTGCTTCTGAGGATTCCCACAGCCTCTCAGGAGCCTTCCGCTCCTTCGAGGATGTCCCAGCTTGGGATTGAGGAGCCAGGACAAACATACCAGCTAACTCAGGGACACATAGAGAGATCTGTCACTGCTTTGAGTCACTGCAAGTCCAGTGGTGATACAGATGGCTCAGGAAACAGGCTGAGGACTGCCATGAAGGGGTAAGCAAGACTCTTCTGGACAGTACCAAGAGCCTCTTACTCTGCCTGGGATGGGGAGGACCTGGAGAGCATGGAGAGGGGAAAGACTGGCTATAGAGGAGAAAGTCACAGGCCAAAAGAGGGATGAAGGGGTACTGAGCTATAGGCACAGGGGCAAGTTACCCAACCTCTAAGCAGTTTCCTCTTCTGTGAAATGGGTATGTCAACCTTCTCCCCTCAGGAGCACTGGGACAGTAGCACAGGTCCCACCCATAGCCAGTCTAATAAGCAGGTACCTGTGCTTATTACTGATGTGTGATGTAACAGTAAACACATGCTAACTCTTGAAGCCCAAGCTGTGAACCAGCAGACCTGAGGTTCAAGAACCAGATCTGACTAGCAGATGTGTGAGCTGGTAAGTTCATTATCTCCCCCCTTGAGCACCAGCTCTTCCTCTTTACCATGGGAGTAGGTAGTAACTGCCAAGGGCCCTAAGGAAGCCATGGGAATATAACGAGGCACCGTTTGCCAGGGTCATGTGGCACAGGAGGAATATTGCCCACCTTCTAGCTCAAAGTCCTCAGTGAAACAGAAGCATGTCTATCTGTAGGAAACCCTGTTTGCAGCTGAGGGAGACAAAGACTTGATCTGTCCTGGACCCCCTCGATCTGTCCTCCCCCATCCTTAGAGCAGCCTACTGAAGCAGGTGTTGTAGCTGACATTCACTGCACAGATTCAGAGGCTGAGGCAGAGGCTGGTGGAGAGAAGTGATCAGGCCTCAGATAGTGAGTGCTGGGTTGGATTCAAAGCCAAAGACTCTTAGGAGGCTCTGTATATAGGTGGCCCTGGACTAGAACTTCTCCAGAGAGCCCACCCTGGTCCAGAAGCCAGGGTGGAACCAAGTTCAAGATTAAGCCAGGGTACAGGCAGGCTCATGGCTGGCAGTCTCTGAAACACCACCGTCCTAACCAATGTCTGGGTTCCTCACTGCTCTGCCTCTCCAAGTGGAGGCAACAGCACCAGGGTCATTAAGAGCCCTGCCCATCTAGGGAGTTGGGGAGGATACTGTACTACTGTATGGAGATCTCAGAGGCAGGGACGGGAGGAAGGTTGGAGCACAAGGGTCAAGAAGAGCCTGACTTGGTAGACCCATGTCCCTGACCTGGGAACTGTGGCCTGTGTGGAAGCCTGGAGGGAGAAACCAAAGCTAAAGAGCGTAAGCTTACATTGCCCATTGGTAGCTGAGTGTTCCCAGACAGTCTCTTAACCTCTCTGCTCCTCAGCCCCTTCACTGGGAGGCAGGATCATGTGAACAGGACTTGCCTCCCAGGAGTGCTGGGGGACTCATGTATTTGGTCTAGTTGGCAGAACTTCAGTACTTACTGTTATTGTTTTTATTTTTATCCTTCCAGTTATTCCTTAAAGACTGTGTGGGTGTTGCTCAGGAGTCCTTTGTGTCCCCAAGCTCCAGTTTCCCTGCTTCCACAGTGAGAGATGACAGCTGCCTCCACTTTTCCCTGCCCATTGTGAGGCTCACAGGAGACAACGGATGGGAAGGGGCTTTGGGGTTGTAGGCTTCTGTGTAGATGGAAAGGAGTGGTATTGTCTCCATTATTCCTAATAACCCTAATTACTATGGAAATGAGCTAGCAGGCCCTGGAGGTACCTCAAGCCACTTCCCAGGGCCTTGCGAGTGGGGCTCTGGAGCCTGGCATCCACAAAGCGGAGTGGGTCAGAGGAGGAAAAGGGGTCAGGTTGCCAGGAGAGCCAAGCCCATGTGCAGGACTGAACAGCAGCCAGTCCCACCACCCACAGCCTCTTGGTGACCCACAGGCTTTGAAGAGTGATCTTTTCAAAGGGACATGATAAAAAAGACCAGCAGCAGCCAGACCCTCCCAAGCATTCCTCCACTGGAGAATAACAGGGAGCCTCATCCACAGCCTCCATACTGCTGGGAGGTGCTTTGGAGGCCTGGTATTCATCAAGGCCAGGAGCCTGGATAGGGCATGCGGGGGACCTTGTTAAACTAGATTCCCTACAATTGATGAGCCTGTTAATCCTAGCTTGGCGCCATTTTTTAATAACATCATAACCATTTATTAGTGTCGTCAGATAATTAGTCTTCTCACTAGCTCATAGAGAGCGTGCTAAAGACTTGGCAATATTATTACTTCCTTATTAGGGATCTGAACGGAGGTGTAAAGATGATGGATTCCCACCTTTGTAAGTGTCTGCCTCCTGAGGTCCATTTGAAGGCCCAACCAACAAAATTTCAAATGTCCTTCCCTGACACTCCGCTGGCCTCTGACCCGTGCCAAACAACTATCCAAGCAGCCAGTGTTATGGAGGGAGGTGGCACCTTCAGGACAGAATCCTCTCCCAGGGACACACCCACCTTCCCTGTGTCACCTTGAACATTGGATTAGACTGGCAGGAACCCTGTGTCCATCACCATCTCTCCTGACCCACCTCCCATTGCTGCTGCCTGCATGTCCTCATCCCCTCTCAGGCATCTTTCCTCAGCTCCCTGCCTTCAATGCTTCCACAACTCAAAACAACTCTAGAATCCAATGGAAATAGTTTCAGATTCCAGGTCTGGCTCATTTCAGCTCACAGGAGAGTTATCCAGCCTCTCTGGACTCCATTTCCTCAGCTTCAAAGCGGGGATGATAACAGAACCTTGGGCCAGGGTTCCTGGGAAGATTTCATGAGATACACCCTCCAAATGCTCAGCTGAGTATCTGGTGCTCAGTGAGTGCTCATACACAGGAACAGTCCTATTCAGCACTGGTCCTACTGAGGACCACCCCTGTGTCTAAAGTGCTCATACTTGAACATGGTGGAATAGGCAAGGTGGCCTACCAGCCATGGTCATCCTGCTAGGCAAGACCTAGTAGTCCAGGACCCAGACTTTCCTTGGCTGAATCTAAATAGACAGCCTTGGGAACTGACTCACGTTCACCCAGCTCATAGACAACCAAAGCATACACTAAAGTACTGCTCTGCCTTATACTTGGAACATTGACTTTTTAAAAAAATCTATTTATTATTTTTATTTTATGTGTATGCAAGTATTGCCTGCATGTAGGTAAGTGCACCCGTATCACGCAATGCCTGAGGTCAGAAGAGGCTGTCGGATGCCCTGGGACTGGAGTTATGGACAGTTGTTAGCTGCCATGTGGGTGCTAGGATTGGAACCCAGGTCTTCTGCAAGAACAACCAGTGTTCTTAACCACTGAGCCATCTCTCCAGGCCAACATTGACTTTTTTGACACCATGGCTCCCACCTTCCATCTAGAGCTTCCATGCCCTGGCACCAGGCAACCTTGAATCTGTTTGGGGAATGTGGAAGCAAAGCCCCAAGAGGAGAGAGTCTGAAACCAAAGGACAACCACTGGTGGAGAAAGGGACAGAGATGAGTCTTGAGTCTCGGGTGTTAAACTGAGTTATTTAATCATTTTTCAGTATCGGGGGTTGATCCTAAGACCTTCCACATGCTGGGCAAGTATTCGACTACTGAGCTACATCCCCAGCCAAGTTATTTAATTTAACCTTGAGAGTTACGGGTCACTAGAGGAAGATCTAGAGCCAGGGGTTACATCAGCCTGGCTCTCGAGGAAAAAGTCATATACTCCTCAGTCAAACTGGAGCTGGTCTGGGCACCTGGCTGGAGCCTGGATGAAGGGAAGAGACAGTGAAAAACAAGGAAAGTGAAGGTCCAGAGAAGAGACACAAAGGCAGCAGGCTGGCGACTGAGTGGATGGAGGAGGTGGCGGAAGGAAGGGGACAAGAACGAGGCAGAGAATTCTAGCAGGGACAGCTGGGGAGGGGGGCGGTTGTGTCCTAGACTGTAAGCCCTCTAGAGAAATCATGGTCTGAGAGCTGCTTGGGACATGCTAGGATCCTGGTCACCATGGGGGTGCCTAGCTATAGGATGTGAAGAGGGAGCCAGGAGGGTGATCATGAGGAATCCCCAAGATTTCTGGGCTGGCAAGTTTGAAGAGGAAGAAAGAGTAAGGGGGGCCAGTGAGGTCAATGAGGTCAGGCTTGTGGCTTATGTGGGTGATGTAGTTTGCCCTGGTTTCCAGACCTACTTGGACCAAGATGGAGACAAAGAATGAGCATAGGTAGCCCTGCCCAGATCCCCCTCTGCTTTCCTGTCACACAGAGTATAGCCAGGGAAAATGGCACGGAAGTATCCATGTCCTCTGTCCGACTCTTCTAGATAACAAGTCCCTGATGGACTGAACTTGGTCATTGCCTAGCACTTGGACACAAACAGGCATTGGTGAATGAAGAATACATGAATGGACATGGACTGCTCACCCTGCCCAAGGACATGACTGTGGGTCATGATCCAGCTTCACATCTGGTGTGTGTAGGAGGATCTGGGGTCAATGCTATGATCCCATCACCCAGTGGGTCCATTGGCTTACTAGCACAAACCAGTTCCTAATTCTGGCCAGGGTGCACCTGTGCTAGGAGGTACCCAAACCCTGTTATTGTGGCCAGGGGAAGCTCTGCCAAAGATGCCTCCTTCAATCTGGGCTGGTGTACTTGGACTCAAAGC